AAGAGCTGGGAAGGATCACAAGGGTGAACCGGAAAAGTGAAACTGGTGATAGGGAGAGAAATAACAGAAACCCTCAGAGCCAACCCAGAAAGAGGAAAAGGAGGCCCGGAAGGTCAAGAGGAAAGGATTTGCTTCTTCACTCTGTAGCCTCTCAAATCACTGAAGGAGCAGCGCCCAAGAACAGGTACTCGTTTCCGTACCATCCTTTATTACAAAACCATTGACGATGGGAATTCTATCTATTAAATATAGCCCACTATGTTAAATGCAAGAATCTTGTGAAATTTTGAAAGTGGAAATCACATAGATGCCTCAGGGACTTTTCACTAGGTACTTGAAGATGCGCACTTGATAGTTTTAATACAACTTCAGGTATGCTGAGAAAAAACCAACTTATCTACTTGAAACCTTACAGTGGGCAGAGAGGGTGAGGGGTAGGGCCACAGAGAAAGGCAACAGGATCCTAAGTTTAAGGGAGAAAGGAGGATACTGGAGGAAGACCCACGTTCATGGAGATTATCTATAAAGGACCTAAGAAATTACCTACTTCATACTCTTTGCCCCTACAGTTATTTTACAGGTGGGAAAAACTAAAGAGGTTCTGATATAAAACAGGAATTTTTAATTTGCTCAAAGTCACAGTGAAAAACCAAGAGTGAGAGAAAGAGGAAATGGCTTCCATCCAAGGATTTTTAGGACTACACTGTGCACACCCCATATGCATACTGGGTGACAAGGCAAAACCAGGTGATAAATGTCCAGTAGCAGTAGGACAAAAAGATACAGGACACCAGGAAGTAGAATAGAGTAAATAAGATCTTTCCATCAATAGAATACACTCATAATGATAACAAAGATCTGGACAGGGCTTAAAAGCTGAAAACCCCCTCATATACAAGATCTAACTGGATAAACAATTATGTGAAGTAGTCCTCTGCATTTTACAGAGAAGCACAGTGATTTGCCCAATGTCTCATAGCTACTTAGTAGCAGGCATGAAACAGGTTGAATCAGAACCTTTCTACATTAAGTTTTATACCTAAATTACTAATCCTTAGCTTTAAAAAAGTCCACCTGATCCTATAACTTGGGTGTCTGGACAGTGCGACTTTCTATCTCCCTGCTCCCTGGCTCACTCATGTGCTGTGTGTGCTTCCCAGGGAAAGCCATACAAACAAATAAGCAAATGTATAAATGGCCCTTAGTGAATATTCACAAGGGTGATTTTGTATACTACACAAGTTGTCATTGTCTACAAACATTCTTGGGCCTCAGGGTCTCTAATTTCACAACTTGTTCATAATCCAATACAGCTGAAATGGGTTCTCCAAAGGGTTCTCAGAAAAATGGCTGAGCCAGCCTTCCACGTCCTAACTCAAGACTCCCTTTAGGTTCCCAGACTGGTGATCAGATACAGTATCTTATAGGTCCATGAAACGGTATGTTCAGGAAAAGTGCTCACCTTATTCTTTGTGTCAGTGGGCACGCCTTCAGGAATGGCAGGTGCAGATGCTGCCTCGTCCAAATATGAGTTGTCTTCATCAGCCAGAAGCTCATCACCCAGTGCGTCCAATTCTGAGATCGAAAGGGTCAACATTTTAAAATAAATGGAAAAACATTGACAGCTAATGTTAAGAAAGTTAGACAAATTATTTGCAGTCAACATTTAAACACAAAAAGAAAGAAATTAATCATTTCTATTCCAAATCAAAGATGACTATCCTCTGAAAATCGAGAGAACTGGTATGGCAAAATCTATGAAAAACAAGCAACACTCAGGGACAAGGGAACAACAAATGATCCAAAATCAATGGCAAGGAGGGTGTAGGATGCCTGGCAGGGCTTGATCAAGGGAAATGTAACTGAGAGGAATTACTGAAACCCAAATGAAGGCTGAGCATGATAGTGGGACAAGAGGAAAGTAAAAGGAAACAGGAAAGAACTAGGAGGCAAAGGGCATTTACAGAGTTCTAAATACAGGCAGGTACATATGAAAATATGTATGACGATGGGGAAATAGATCTATGTATATATATTTAGAGGTTTAGTACTACGGTAGCAGATGGACATTGGGCCTCTACTCAAGTACTCCCTCAACGCAAGAACAGTTTTTCCTATTAAACTGGCATTACATGATGCTCACCTTCCCAACACGATCGCTGAAGACAAAGCGGGTACATAAGCAAATGTGGTGAAGAAAGCTGATGGTGCCCAGCTATCAAGAGATATAGCATCTGGGGTCTTAAAGGCTTGAATATAAACAAGTGGCCAGGTAGCTGAGAAGCAACAAAGGCCACATGGAAGAGGCACACCAGCCTGTGTGATCATGAGGTGTCAATAGGATCAGGTATCAAAGAACAAAAAATCATATCATTTTGAATAAGGGGGAGTGCAGAGTGGGGACCTGAGGTAGTCAGTTTATTGTGCCAACCTGGCAGATAAACACATGTGGGATTAATTGAAGGGTGGAGAGATAAATGGCTTTCTTGTCTCTTCCTCTTTGATCATTGGACCAGTGTGCGCTACCTTGCTTGTTCTGTGCCTTAATTTGCAAGCTACACTACCTGTGGGACACCTAACCCGTGGACCATGTCACTGTAATTTGAGGTTCCATCAAGACTTGCTTCGCCACACAATTGGAATTTACATCTCTTGAGCTGGGGACTGTCAGACCCTGTCATCTGGCGGTGACCTGCCTTGCTGTTTGCTGCTTGCGCCTGGATAGCTGGAGCCAGTCGGTGCAGAATAGCACTGATGAAACATACAACTTTCCTCTAGTTCTTTAAAGTTCCTCCCCACCACTATCATGATCACAATTCTACCTTACAAATCTGGCTAGACCAGAGGATGTACACTGGTACAGATAAGAACTGAAAACACAGGGAATCCAGGACAGATAAAACTCTCAGGGCCAATAATGAGATTAGAGATAGGAGGGTAAAGGGAAGGTGGGGTACAAAGGGGGAATCAATCACAAAGATCTACATATAACCCCCTCCCTGGGGGATGGACAACAGAAAAGTGGGCAAAGGGAGACATTGGACAGTGTAAACATGAGAAAATAATAAGAATTAATAAATTATCAAGGGTTTGTGAGAGAGGGAGGAGGTAAAATGAAGAGCTGATACCAAGGGCTCAAGTAGAAAGAAAATGTTTAGAGAATGATGATGGCAACAAATGTACAAATGTGCTTGACACCATGGATGGATGTGTGGATTGTGATACGAGCTGTAAGAGCCCCCAGTAAAATGTTTTACAAAAGGAAAAAACAAAAACAAGTAACAGAGGTCGAAATGTAACAAAAAAGACTATCAGCCCCATGCGATGCTTCATGAGGAGCATGTGGGTTAACTGGCCAGTTCCAACTAAGAAATTCCAACCCGAACAAATAGAAGAAAACCCTTGCTCACTGCTTGGTGCACTTGAAAGAGGGGACGATGGGCGGAAGGAGAAAAAGGATTCTAGGCTAAAACAGGAGATGGCGAGAGAAAAGAGCAGTACCATGAGAGGATCATACAGCAGGAAATCCAGTGTGACCCATGACAGAAATTGACAGTCTCCCTGACTCTCCTCCTCTCACCACATCTAATCAATCATTTCGTTTTATCCAATCAACCGACCAAACATTCTGAAATCTGCTCAGTTCTGTGCCTGCTACCACCACCCTTGTCTCAGCCACCCTCATCTACGTGAACTAGCGTAGAAACTTCTAGACCCCTGTTCTTGAGCCCACCAACCCCTGCATTTGTCATCCTGCAGGCCACAGGCTAAACTCCAGAAAATGTCCCATGCTTTTCCCTCACCCTCTGCGAGGTTAGATTGCCTCTGCTTCGGGTTCCCAGGATACTGCATGCTTGTCCTTTCTAATTCTTCTTGTTCCTCTAATTAATAACAACGAATTACTTGAAATAAGCAGTTTGTGAATGTGTTTTCACAGAGAAGATGCACAGTAGTGTTTGCCAATGATCAGTTCTTGGTCTGCGTCTGTTCTGAGGGCAAGGACTCCCGGAAGGAAAACAGAGAAAAACAAAATCAAAAGGAAACAGCCAGAAAAGGCAGTGTTGAGGACACAGTAGAGACTGAGCACGAGGGGCCTCGGTCTAGAGCAGTGGTTCTCAACTTTCTTAATGCCGTGACCCTTTAATACAGTTTCTCATGTTGTGGTGACCCTCCAAAATAACATTATTTTCGTTGCTACTTCATCACTGTCATTTTGCTACTGTTATGAATCAGGCGACCCCTGTGAAAGGGTCGTTCCACCTAAAGGGGCTGTGACTCACAGGCTGAGAACCGCTGGTCTAGAATGACCTCCCAGAGTTGCTGGTGCAAAATGCCTACTGGATATGGCTGTTTCATAGTTTATTGGCCTAAATACTACACTGGGAGCTCACGCTTGGGGAACATTTTCATTAGCATTTGGGAAAGGGGCCAAGCAGTTACAAGTTTCCGACCACACCTAGGCATCCATCACTTTCCCCCTAAGTTACCTGCTTCTAGGTCATCTTCGTCTAGCTCTGGGGTGCCATAACTACGACTCAGTGCTTCTTGGATTTCATTCGCATCTTCCATCATATCCTCTAGCTGGTCTTGCAGATCCTATCAAAATACACAGAGCAGGGTTTTCATTGATTGCTTACCTCTGACTGGCCCCCTCCTCTCCTCTCTTTGGAGTCTTTGTATGGAAAAAATTTTTTTTAAAAAAGGAAAGTAAAATGCCTGGCATATAACTGAGATCATTAATAGCCACACTTAATATGGTTACTGCAACATTTATTACAATAATGTATGTAAAACTCTAACCCCTCAACACTACACATATTCGTTATGACCACTCATTTCTATTGTGGTAAGAATGTATAGAACAGCAATAATCTCTTCCTATACTGAAACCCCACACGGAAGGGGACAGACAGTGTTGATAACACAGAGGGGCCTTTCTCCTTTGGAGTTTTTGGAGCATTATAAAACATTTGAAAACTCATTCCTGGCCCCCAAATCAGAGTATGCTTGTTTTCAATATAAAGGGAGAAAGGTAGAAAGTAAAGTGGATGTGGATGAAATGCTAATAAAACTGTTTTTGAAAAAAACTTTCCTTTTCTTGTGTTTCCAAGTGCTAATCCACCACAATATACACTTGACATTCTGCTATCCAAAGGATCACTGGCTGAAATAATGCAAAGGAGTGGAAACGGCATACAGTAAGCTATGAAATTCAAACTTATATTATTACCTAGCAAGACAGATTACCTCAAATCGCCCATAAATAAGATTCCTATCAATACACTCTAAGAGGTGGGGGGAGGGAGGGAAAGCACAGACACAAATTTAGCCAGTTCAATACTGAATAAACAAAGCAATGGAAAACGAATACAATAACGAAACTAAAAGCAACGCTGGTGTGCAGAAACTAAAAAATAAAACTACACACACAAAGGCAAAATTAAAAAACGAGAGCTATGAAACAATGAGACTGGCTTACAAGTATTTTAGGAAAACAAATTCAATAAACAAAATTCAAATTATACAACCCCGCCTACAGATGGATCACACACAGCATGAGTTGAAAAGAAGTTCTCAACCTATTATTCTGGCAAACTATCGGGGGTGGGGGGTGGACACACGACTTATAAGGATTATCAGCATAGTTTCTATTTTGTTCAACAGCTTTAATTAAAATACAGAGAACTCTAAGAAGCAACAAAGGCCACATGGAAGAAGCACACTAGCCGGTGTGATCACGAGATGTCGATAGGATCAGGCATCAAAGAACAAAAATCATATAATTGTGAATGAGGGGGAGTGCGGGTGGAGGACCATAGACCATCTGTAGGCAACTGGACATCCCCTTACAGAAGGGTAGCGGGGAGGAGACAAGCCAGTCAGGGTGCAGTATAGCACCTATGAAACACACAACTTTCCTCTAGTTCTTGAATGCCCCCCCCTCCCCCACTATCATGATCCCAATTCTACATTACAAATCCAGCTAGACCAGAGGATGTACACTGGTACAGATAAGAGCTGGAAACACAGGGAATCCAGGAGAGATAAACCCTCAGGACCAATAATGAGAGTAGCGATACCAGGAGGGAAAAGGGAAGGTGGGGGAGGAAGGGGGAACCTATCACAATAATCTGTATATAACACCCTCCCAGGGGGATGGACAACAGAAAAGTGGGTGAAGGGGGACATCGGACAGTATAAGACATGAAAAAATAATTTATAAATGTTTTGAGAATGATGATGGCAACAAATGTATAAATGTGCTTCACACAATGGATGTATGTCTGGATTGTGATAAAAGCTGTATGAGCCCCCAATAAAATTATTTTTAAAAATGATTTAAAACAAAACAAAATAGAGAACTCTTATGAAGAAAACAAAACTCTATTTCATTCATTATACTTCATTCCCAAATGGTATTGGGACAAAAATCAAAAAAAGCATAAACTCAAACAGTATAAAAAAACCCCCAAACGCACTGCCATCAAGTTTATTCCCACTCAAAACGACACTCCAGGCATAGAACTGCTTTTGGGTTTCTGAGACTATAAATCTTTATCAAGCACAGAGCGCCTTGTTTTTCCCCCATGGAGCAGGTGGTGGGTTTGAACTGCCACTGTTGCAGCTAGCAGCCCAAGGCCTCACTCACAGGGCCACCAGAGCGCGCTCTTCTTCATGAGTCTCCCGGAAGGCATCACTAACTTTAACTCCACCTAGCACAGACTGGTGGGTGATTAGGAAGATGAACAAGGCAGTCTAAGGCAGGGTAAAATAGAAAATGCCTTCCCTCCTATTCCTGGAAGAAAGCTCAGGCTTTCGATTCTTGTACAGCAATCGTCTCAGAAGCCCACAGGGGCAGCTCTACCTATAGTCCTGCAAGTCACTGTAAGTCAGAATCAAATCAATGGCAGTGAGTTTTTGCCTTTTGGCTTTCCCTCCTATTCCAGACCAGCCCGGCCAGAGATACCTCTGCAGGGACAGAACAAGGCGCAGACCATAAGCGCTCACCCAACAACACAACTGGAATTGAGCAATACTAATTGATTTCCTTAAACAGCCTCTCATCCTTGCATTCATCAATAAACAATTGCATTCTGGCTTAAAATGTGGCTGTGCACATAAAATAGGAAACTAATGTGCGTGAGGCGGTGCTGTTTGTAAAAAAAACCATAGAACTAGCATGGTTCTTTGCATAAAAATCCAGTCCTTTCTGAGCTAGGCACCAGGGAAACTGCAGTGAACACCACTGATTCCTGCCCTCATGGACAGACACGTCCTACTCAAGGGAGTAGAGGTAAAGAGCCATATCCCATATGCCTTTTACATCATCTGTGCAGAAATGAAACCTTTCCACTAGCCAGGCACCACTCGCTCCCTGTGTTACCACTGTCACTAGATGGAATTTCGACCAGTTAAGATCCTTGGATTGGGTTTCCCCAACCAAAATCTGTTCCCCTTGAGAAGTGCTAATATTTAAGACCTAGTGACATTCTTGGGAGAAAGACGGGGCTTTCTACTCCTGTAAAGAGTTACAGTCTCAGAAACGCACAGCGGGGGCAGTTCTACCCTGTCCCATAGGGTCACTTTGAGCTGGCATGGACTCAATGACAATGCTTCTGAGTGACATTAAAAATAACCAACTCTACTCCAGCAACTACATCGAGCACTTTGTGAACCCACTGGCATTTACCAATTCATGACAGTCATGAGAGATGAGCAGTAATGTCACTCTTTGATAGCCGAGGAGACCGACTAGAACTGGTAGACACTGATGAGCATGTTGATTCTCACAGCCGATGGGCGATGATCCTGGTACCCAGGGAAACAGGCCCTGGTGCCTTTTCCCCAAGCTACTCTATAGTCAAGGGCGGGCCAGAGAGTCAACCCCCTAGCTGTGCTCTTCCCATCCCAGGAACACACAGTCAGATTCTTTCAGAAACTACTATACCTCAATCTGGTCGATTTTTACTTGCTTGTATGCTTTCTTCATTTCTTTTACTCCTAGTTTCATAGCATCAACCTGAAAATAAGATGAAATAGGATGCATGAAAGAAAGCACAGTTATAAAAAGCCACGTTGGCCAACGTCTCTGGAAACCACAGAAGAGCGTGATGGTCTGGGAAGCTCATGGGTCAAGGAAGGTGCTCTGGGAGTACCGTGGTCTTGGTGTCCTTCAGTGACTGGATGGTGTAATTGGCTTGTTCCATGTTAAACGACTGTTGAGCAAGGTTGTCCCGCTGCTGCTCGTACCTTTTGGAAGACAAATCAAGAGGGGAAGGGTGAGCCAGAGAAAGAATCCTGAACCCCAAAGGGGAGCTTTTTCTCTAAGGAAAACAAAGAAAGAAAGAGAAAAAACTTGAAAACTTCGACTAAAAAGAATTCAACCACTCTAACACAAGGATGGAGGAGCTCTGGTGGAGTCATGGTTATGAGGTGGGTTAACTTCAAGGTTAGCAGTTAGAAACCAGCTGCTCCGTGGGAGAAAGAGGAGCTTTCTACTTGCAGCCTGGGAAACCGAGGCATTTCTGTTCTGTCCAATGGGGTTGCTGAGTCCGCACTGACTCAATGGCAGTGAGTTTTGGTCTTGTGTTTTCAACACCAGTATCATTCTGTGTGTTCTCATCTTTTTTCTTTGTGTGTATTTTGGTTGTAACACTGTCCTCCACGTAACATTATAACACTTGCTTGTTCCTATGTTGCTACAGTCTTACTAAAAAGAGGGCTTCATAATGTTGAGATGATTTCCTTATCATACATTTCTAGAAGCTGACGGTGAAACTATTCATGAAAAAACATGTTACTGTCATATAGGTGAAAGTGGACCAAAAACAGGATACCGAGCAAAAATTAAGTTTGTGTTCAACAATTTCTACGTATACTATCTACTGACAATTGGTAACATTGTCCACACTAGGTAGAGTAAGGTGATTTTTAAGGCTCTTAATACATTGAGCTACACTGTTCAATGTACACAATCCTCTGAGCAGACTCCATCTCCACAACTCTGCGGAGGCTCTCAGATGATCAGCCAACAGGGGTAAGCCACGGGATAAGCACCAAGGATACTCACCAAGGATACTAT